CTCCTCCCGCCCTCCCCGCCGGCTTTGTTCTCCCGGGCTCGCTGCAGGGGAGCCGGCCGGCTTCTCCTACCCGGCGCCCCCCGACCCAAGCGGGCTAGGCCAGCGAGCTCCAGGGATTTCTACTCGGCGTGGGCCCTTCTCCGCTTTAATCAGCCCAGGAGGGGGCGGGGATGATGCGTGTTGGCCAAGGCCCGGTTCCTACGTGTCCACCCTGATGCTAAAATGAGGTCTGGAAAAGGTGCGACCAGACTCCTCCCGATTTTTGGCTACATAGACTGACCCGGCTCTCCTCCTATCCATACAGACAGGCGCGCCCCTGCCATCCAGAAACATCAATAGGCATGTGGAGTCCTTGGGGCTCTCTGAGCATGGCGGTTGGCTTGCAGACGTTTCATGGCCCAGCTAGGTGACGTCATCAGTGCCCTGACGATGCCCTGTGCACTGATGACATTACCTAGTCGGTCGTGAAACGTCTGCAAGCCAACCGCCAAGCTCAGAGAGCCCCAAGGACTCCATGGTTCATCCCTGAGCTACTGCTATTCTCTTCTATTGGAAACATCTGTATTTCTCAAACCAGCTGTCCAGCTCATCCAGTTGCCGGCCGATGGTACCAGGAATATTATGATCACGTTCCTGTATCATTTTACTGAATAATCCACAGTAAACTGGGTTCACACAAGGCCACATAATCCAGTTTACAAAGCACGGGGCGTCCAAAAGAAAGCAACGATTCAGTGATGGATAAGCAAGCCCTGCTCGGCTTCACTTCATCATGCAGACAAGGACAGCCAGACACATCCCTGAAGGATTTTCCCCTGATTTAGAGATGCCCAAGAAGCCTATTGGCTTGGAAATATTACACCCAGCCAGACTCCTGAATGCATATTTCACATAATAAAGCCAGAGGCGCCCTTTGTGGCAACTCATTGGTGAAATCACGGATAAGTCCCTGAAGATTGTTCCCAACGCAGTTTGCCACAGTCTAGCCTTCATCCCTAAGACTGATTCTGGAGCTATTCATGTAAGATTTAGATTTACTGGGTTTATATGTTACTTATATTATTGCATAATTATATATGAGAACCAGTGCGGTGCTGGACTAGGACCAAGGAGACTCAGGTTCCAATCCCTCCTTAGCACCAAAGCCAGCTGGGTGACTTTGGGCTGGTCCCTCCCTGTTCTGGGGAGTCCAAAAACATCGATCTATCAACATGTGCTGGACCAAGATGGTAGATCAACCTTCAGTGAAGAAACTGAATTGGATTGGATTGATTCAGGAAGAGGAAGAGGAAGAGGAAGAGGAAGAGGAAG